TGTTAGGTGTTGTTGGTGGGGACTCCATAATATGTCAGAATACTCTAAGGCAGGGCGAATAAGAGTCATGTATGCATTTAATTTGACTTCGGCCGGAATATTTCACAACCTTCTTCTGAGAAAGGATAGGTTCCCTACCGTTTTTTGCAGATGGCGTCGATATGAGGTTCCCAAATTAAGTAGGCTGAAAGCGTGACACCAAGGTATTTCACCTCATTACTTTTAGGGAGTTCAATATTTTCCAAAGTGTACGAAAAATTAAGCGGATTCTTCTTGTTAGTGAATGTGAGGCATTTGGTTTTATATTCGTTCAGTCTCATGCCCCATTTCTGGCACCCCGCCGCGGTGGTCTAGTGGCTAAGGTACTCGGCTGCTGACCCGCAGGGCGCGGGTTCGAATCCCGGCTGCGGCGGCTGCATTTCCGATGGAGGCGGAAATGTTGTAGGCCCGTGTGCTCAGATTTGGGTGCACGTTAAAGAACCCCAGGTGGTCTAAATTTCCGGAGCCCTCCACTACGGCGTCTCTCATAATCATACAGTGGTTTTGGGACGTTAAACCCCACATATCAATCTATCAATTTCTGGCACCAAGCGCAAATGTTTTTGAGAGAGTTGTTCGAATCGATTTGGTCCTATGAATGTCTTACAACTGTATACACGACACAATCATCTGCGAAAAGCCGCATCTGGATTGGTGACTGGATGCAAAATTGGATATTATTGATATAAATAAGAAATAGTAGAGGCACAAGGACTGAACCCTGTGGTTGTCCTGAGTACACATGAACGCTATCGGACATATGCGTGTTTACGGCTACACGTTATGTTCTGTTCATTAAGAAGCTGGAAATCCACGAGATTAAAGTGTCATCAATACCAAAAGCCTGTAGTTTTGTGATTAAATCTTCATGTGGGACCACGTCAAACGCCTTTGAAAAGTCTAAGAATATGGCATCAACATGACTGTTGGTATTAACAGCGTCGGCGAGGTCATAAGTTATTTCGGCCAGCTGTGTTAGTGTTGACAACCCAGATCTGAATCCATGTTGTTGGTTATAAATAAGGTTATTCCTTTCTAGATGATTGATGATAGATTTAAAAATTATGCGTTACATCACTTTACAACACGTGCTTGTTAATGATACAGGTCTATAGTTGATTAGTTCAAATTTTGAGCCAGATTTTAGTACTGGAATTTTTTTTGCCTTGCGCCAATCATCAGGAATACTCAAGGTATCGAAAAACACTTTAAATATTATAAGTAAATATTTTGAAATACAGAAAGCATATCGCTTCAAAAATGTATGAGAGATAGAGTCGGGACCAGTGGACTTCCTTAGGTCAAGGTTATTCAATAAATGCAATATTCCTTCTTCACTTATAATTTTCCATAGGCTGCTCAACAGTATAGGCCGCCAGTGGCTCTTGTGAAGCAGTGTGTGTGAAAACTGACGGGAAATAGTTGTTAAACTGATTCTCAATGTCTTTAGGTTCAGTCAATGTTCTATTCCCAGTTTTGATTTGCGCAATGGTTGGTATATTTTCTGAGAAGTAGCGCCAAAATTTTCGAGGGTCATCCTTCATGAAACTTGGCAAGGTTACACCGTAAAATCGTGATTTTCCTTCACGTACTCTATCACGCATAGTGCCAACGAAACCAGCGATTTTGTTTTTATCTGCCTTTGTGCGACGTCGCCATTTCCGTTTTCGTTTCATCTGAATTATCTCGCGTGTTAGCCATAGGTAATCTTTTTTGACCCGTTTCTTTCTTTGGGGGATGAAGTTGTTTTCGCAATGATATATTATTTCTTTAAAACGCGTCCACAATTCCGAAACACTGTTCAGGGCACTAAATTCGTCGAAGTTGGGTTCTAATATGTCTGATATTTTGTCATCGTCTGCGCACGCAAAATCTTTTACGTAAAGGCATGGTCGTTTGGTAGATAAGCGAAAAACTGTGATAGGGCATGTCAGGACGAGCAACTTATGATCTGAAATACCTTCTTTTGCGCTAACTGTTCTGTTTTGAAGCGTATTTTAACGAACATCAGGTCGAGAAGGGAGGAGAACGATGCCCCAATTCTTGTATGTTCGGACACTAGTTGGTTCAGCGAAAAACTGAACGCAGTGAAAAGCAGTGATCCCGCACTTCTGGCATCTCTGCTGTCGTAACACATGTCAGTCCAGTTTATCTCTGGGAGATTAAAATCCCCTGTTTAATATATATTATATTTTACCTCGAATTTGTGTGGTGCGAAAGATAATCGTGAACAGCTTCCAGATACTGGGGCGCAGCATTGGGTGGGCGGTATACGCCAGCAAGTAATATCGTCTTGCCAGGATAAAATAATTTGCGCCATAAGCTTTCGTGTTCGGGAATTCTTTCAAGAACAGAAAATTGATGTTGTTTTTAATGGCTATCGCTACGCCACCACCTCTGGAAGTCCTGTCGTTATGGAGTAGTTTATATGATGCCGGAATTACTTCACAGTCCAACACACCAGCATGTAGCCAAGTTTCGGTAATTACCAGCATGTGCGGGTGATGACAGAGAATTAAATTTTCGATTTCACTGAGCTTGTTTACTACGCTGCGGGCATTGAAGGACAATAATCTCAAGTTTTTAGTCTTCCCCTGTCAAACCGCCTTCTGAACGTCAGGTCTTGCCCTTGTAGCTACTTTCGGTCGAGAGTACCCTGCAGCAGCTTCAACTCTGGCGTTCTGTATGGGGTCCCAGACAAACATTTTGCCATCGACATTTAAATTGTCAAACATGAGGGACACCTTCGCTCCCTGTGCTTTCTCGTCTGTGGCAGAGCGCCACAAATAGCCGCGCATATCTCTCACTCTTTTCGAAAAATGCTCCGAAATCGATATTTCTGTGCCCTTTAATTTGATACAGCAAGAGAGAATTTTAGACTTTTCAGAGAAATGGAAAAGTCGTAGAGTAATTGGCCGTGAAGTCGTGGAACAATTCTTAGTGACGCAAGACGCCACAGACAAGACGAGCAATCGAACCACCTCAGCAAACATTACAGCAAATCGATTTAAACTTACCAATACCACTTCCTAGGTCAACCTACCAATACCACTTCCAATACCACTTCCTACCGCCTACCTCACCCGCTACGCCGAAACAAGGGCCCTAACTAGAGGCAGTACCGCCGAGGTAGAGAAAATCTTTGTTGAAGACATTGGCCTGCGTCACGGTGCGGCAGAGGTCCTCATCCCTGTCAAAGGTAGAGCCTTCACTTCTGAGTTAACTAAGGGAATTTTGAGATACAGCTATACAAGCCACCGCTGGTCCCCCCCCCCCCCTCTCTACCACCCACAGACCTCACCGAGTGCCTAAAACAAGACCATCAGCCGCATGCTGGCCCTGTACGTTGACAGAGAACATGGGATGTCATCTTTCTGTATGTTACCATCAAATACATCACATTAGTGCAAGAAACAACACAGATGACGCCATACACGAGGGTTTACGAATGAAGCCCGGCAATGAAACTGAACGCCAAGCTACCAAATGTCACCGAAGAAGAAAACATCTACGTCACTCCCTACGTACAGTGCGCCTAAGACGCCCTACAAGTCACCCGTCTACGCATCCAGCGCCATGAAAAGACCAACAATAGCTCTGTTTGATATGAATATAAACTCGCGGTTTTGGAGAGAGGTATATTTTTCAGTCGTTAAATAATCGCTGTAAGTCAAAGTGGGCTGGATACACACATATATTTTGTCACTTTGGTTATGTTTTGCAGAGGGGGCACTTGTTTGTCTCTTCTCTTGTGTCCCGTTGGTTTGCGCTTCCAATTATTTGGTTATGTTTCGTTTGCGATGTGGTCTTATCATATGTAGTTATGAAATGTTTCACCTGTCAGTAAACACTTTACATCTTTCCAGTTTATGTTTCAGCTGGTAGAGAGCGCGCTTTCGTGTGTTCGAAAACTTTCACGTTTAGAGTAAATAATTTTGTCAAGATGGTGCACCGTTTGCGAACACTCAGGATTATGCCGGAGCTTGCACGACCACCTGTGATGAGGCTAAAAAGCTCGAGGAGTGATATATAAAAGATGGCGCATCACAACGACGATAAGTTTATCTACTGCTTATGCTCTGTTCACCGGGATCAGGGCCAGTGTGTACTGCTGACTTTCCGTTTACGGCCCTAAGTTTAGCCAAATAAAGAGTTTCACGTTGAAGACATCGATTCTCCCTTCGCCCTCGTCACGATCACGATATCATATGTACACACATAACTCAAATAAGATTGCGGATAGGCATGATGCCTCGCTTTATCCACACCGTGTAAGTTACTCAAACTATGCAGATGAATGTCAAATATATTCAAGCAAGTAATTCTTCAATTCACACTATTCTATTGGGGTGAGGTCATATTGAATATAGGCGTGCTGACTTATTCACCAGCTTCGACAGCATATAAGCGCTTGAAGTCGGGAGATAAATCGAACCGCACTTGACATTGCTAAGGTTGCGGATGTTTCTCAAGGTTGATGTGGTAAGTGGTGAGCTGCCAAAAGAGAACCGGAGATTTTAAAAGCTGCTTTGTTTTAAAATTGCGCACCCTATTTTTGTATGAGCTCTTTAAAAAAAAAGAAGTGCGTTTCTTGTGTCGGCTTACGTGGGTGCGTTTTATAGTGCTGTCGTTCTATGTGCTTGGCAGTCAGTCTTTTTCAGTTTTTCGTTTTATGCTGCTTGCCTTCTTTCCAAGTTTTATGTCGTGAACTGTATATACCTACGCGCATATTTCAATTGGGCAATACATGCCTTCGCTGGCAGCACGTGAATGCTCTCACTGGTGTTATTTTTTTCTTACACGTGGCTGTTTTTTGTTACTAATCATCAAATGCATTAAGCTGATGCGCATGTTAGCTAGCTGCGCTTCGTCCTGCCTCTCTCGCGTTTTTGTCATTTTTATGGCACTTCAATGCATCAAGTAGGAACCGGTGCAACAAACTTGTGTTTTTATGACTTCAGTACGTCAAGCTGTACTTTGAAGACGTTGACCTGGACGCACTCAATTACTGCGGTGGCGACAAGGTGGAAATATGGGAAACCCTGATCACCACTTCAAGCCGGAAGCTCGCTTTCTGCGGTTCGCAAAGGCCGCGAGCTTGGGTCTCCCACGGCGGCAAGAGTGTCAAGATTTTCTTCGTGACCGACGAAATGCTGGCGGGAAGGGGATTCAGGATTCGATTCCAGGTCACCGGTGACAACGGTCAGTTGCTCCTTTTTGTCCGCTTTTTTATTAGATGCAGAGCAGCCTGTGTAGTGGCTAGTCTGTGTAGTGCTCCCTTTCTGCACCGGGGCGTTGCCAAGTAGGCCACGTCTTCCCTCGGAATGCACGCATGCGTGTGACGTTACTCTATCCCTAGCCTGCCGCCGCTCGCCACGTGTCGTCTCTCGCTTCACCCTCTCCATCTCTTGCAAAGCTCAAGCCCACTCCTCACGGCGGCATCATCTCCTCTCCCGCGCTACCTCTCCCCATCTGTCGTCGAGAAGAAGCCGCGGGTAGGTGCACTTCGCGCACTCGCGCGCCGTCGGTTACAAAAGCGAAAAGATAGACCCCCCCCGCAACATTATATTCCAGCACCGTTCCATGGATTGATGGATGAATTGATATGACTACCCTTTAGATCGGGCGGTGGCTAACGCCACCAAGTTGTAATACATAGCGAAACAAAAACTAGATTTTTTTTTTTTCAATACTGAGGTTGAGGATTCGTACATTGCAGTGAAGGGTTCAATTTTCACTCATGCCTTGATCTGACCCACCAATCAGATAACCTCCTAATGGATAATACTACCCACTTAAAGTCTATTTTGCCCTCCCTGTCCCTAAACCCATGTGCTTTGAAAAACTCTGCGCCATCATCCTGAACTATAGGGTGAAGCCCTTTACAGAACATTATCAAGTGTTGGGCAGTTTCCTTTTCCTCTCCACACGCACTGCATACCGTGTCTACCCCTCCGTATTTGGCCTGATATGCCTTGATTCGCAATACTCTCGTCCTGGCCTCAAAAAGTAAAGAACTACCCCGAGTATTAACACAGATTCTTTCCTTGCCAATTTCCTGCTTAAAAGTTCGATAGATTTCAAGTGCGGACTTCTTAATCATGCCGAATCTCAACCAATCGGTCTCAGCTTCCTTCACCTTCTTCTTAACCAATTATTTTTTTTATTTTGGCCCCCTACCGTTTTCTAAGTATTTACCAGTCAATTTTCTGGTTCGCTTCCTCCATTTTGTATCGACATTCTCTATAAACAAGTAGCTGAATACCTTCCTAGCCCAACGCTCCTCCCTTAATTCTATCAATTGCTTCTCAAATTTCATCTTGCTGCTAGCTTTCCTGCCCTCAAATGATGTCCATCCGATATCACCTTGTACTCCCTGATTTGGTTTATTCCCGTGAGCTCCTAAAGCAAGCCTACCTATTCCACGTTGCTTAAGTTCTAATCTGGTTGAACTTCTGATCTCATGCACAAGACCGCATTGCCGAACGCCAGCCCAGAATTCATGACCCCTTTGCATATTTCTCTCAAAACATCATACCTATTTTAATTCCACAGTGCCCTATTTTTCATCACTGCTGCATTCCTGTTAACTTTAGTCATCACGTATATTTCGTGTTCCCTTAGGTACTTGGTGCCAGTGCTTATCCATACACCCAGATATCTGTATTTATCTGTTATCTCTAGCGTGACCTCCTGTATTCTAAGCTCACTACCTTCGTTATCATTGAAAATCATGACGACTTATTTTTCCGAACTGAATCTGAAATTCAACCTATCTCCCTAATTACCACAGATGTGCATCAATCTCTGCAAATCTTCCTTGTTGTTGGCCATTTGCACTATATCATCTGCGTACATCAATGCTGGTAGTGTTTGTTCAATGAGTTTTCCTTGTTTGACGAAAGAGAGGTTTGAAGCCCAGTCCACTTCTCTAATTTGGCCTCTGACCCTTGTAGGTTCATTATGAATAACAAGGGTGACAGAGAACACCCCGGCCTAAGCCCCCGTTTTACTTCTGTAGGCTTGGATACCTGGTTTTCAAACTTTATAACTGCCTTAATTGTTACCTTTATAGATATCCTTTAAAAGATTAGCGACTATATGTTCCACGCCTAGAGTGTCCAGTATTCCCCACAATTCTGCTTGAACCACGCAATCGTACGCTCTCTTGATATCCAACAATGCTAGCCAAAAGGGCCTGTGTTCCTTTTCTGCTATTTCGCTGCACTGCGTCCGTGAGAACAGATTGTCTTCCAACCTCCTGTGTTTCCGAAACCTATTATGCTGTTCTCCCAGCGCCCCCCCCCATCCTCTATCCATGCCTGCAGTCTTTTTTTATACATTGCATCGCCAGCCTGTAGACCACTGATGTCACTTTTATAGGGCGGTAGTTGTTTATGTCAGCTTTGTCCCCCTTTCCTTTATAGATCATGCTCATCCTGCTAAGTTTCAATCCATCGGGAACTTCACCATCGATTATTGGTTTGCTCACTGCCTCTCTCAAAGCCTGCTTAGACTTCGGACCTAATGTCTTTATCAGCATAATTGGAATGCCGTCTGGGCATTCCAATTATGCTGATAAATTATGCATAATTGGAATGCCGTCTGATGTACTATTAGGAACCCTTTTTTTCAGCCATTTCCCACTCTCGTTGTGAAAAGGGAGCCATTGCACCACTTGATTCATCCTTGTCTATTGTGGCGCATGAAGCACTTCTTTGTTGAAATTTTTCTGTCACCCTTGTTCTTATATGTTCAATAGCTTCGTCCCCTTGTAGCCTAGCATCTTGGGCTGCAGTTATAAATCTATGCTCTAGGCTCGTCTCATTTCTTAGGGAGTTTAGATGGTTCCACAATTTCACAGCTGCCTTTTATCTTTTTATGTACTTCTGCCAGCCACTGAGCTCCCTTTCTTGTAATCTTTTCATTGATCAGAAGGGATGCATCCCTTCTACAGCTTAGAAAGGTTTCCCATTTTCTTTCGACATCATCTGTCGGTTCACCCTGCTGCTAAGCATGCCTATGTTCCCTAGAGGCTTCCTGACATTTTGCTATGGCTCTCTTAACTTCCTCATCCCACCCACTTTTGGGGTGTTGTCTTGTTTTCCGGGGTGACTTGTCACATGTCTTAGAAAGCTCTAGCTCAAACAGTCTAATTAGATTCATGTATGTCCAAACTGTTTTATTATCCACCATGATTACTTTCTCAATTTGTTTTGTGGCTATTTCATTTTGCCTTTCTTGGTGAAAAGTTTTCCGTAGTTGCACATCTTATCTCCTTCCCATTTTCATGGCTCTTCCAAAACTTAGCTTGATACGTTTGTGATCAATACCCAGACTTCTGGAGCCACCGTCATCTATGTGCATTCCCCTGAGCTTATCATGCATGCTATGTGACATCAGTGCATAATATATCGTCGACTGCAGCCTTCCTACCTCCCATGTTCTTTGCCCTTCACAGTTTTTGGTACTTGCAAATGATCAAATCAAGCCTTTCACACATATCCATGATCATTTTGCCTGTCGGGTCGGTATACCCATCTATATCTTCGATGTGCGCATTCATATCTTCTAGTATAAATCTCTCGCACTCTCTTCCTAACTCCTGAATGTCCTTTAATATACACTCTACCATTGCCTGGTTTTCCTCTCTGGCCTTTGCTCCCGTCCACAAGTACACGAAACTAAGGAGTGTCATTTGACCGGCCAATTTCCCTTTTAGCCATAAATGTTTCTTGCACTCCTGCTTGACCCTTTGCCAGCCTGTACTTTTATAAATGAATGCCCCAATACCACACCCTTTTCTGCTGCCTTCTGTTCTAATACAATATTTCCTCGCGTTGTCCGGATTGTTCGAAGGTTGTTTCACTTCCCTGAGATGCGTTTCTACAAAACCGTATACCATCGGCCTCTCTTCCCTCAGCTGTTCTTCTATCTCTTCCCACTTCAGCCTGTTACTACCACCCTGCATTGAATATACCCTGTGTCTGAATTGGCTCGGCGCTCGTGGCTACGTATGTATGCCCGGACTCTACCTATCTTAGATACTGGTGCCACTTTGAAATCGTATCTGTCCATACCACCTGTCAAAGAGTCTCCATGGTTGTTTTCCTCGTTACTAGCTATCCTGCACCCCGAAGGGCCCGCTTGCCCCCCCAAAAAAAGCTACTGCGCGTCCTGCAAGTCGCCAACCCACCTCATGACCTAGCCGCCCATCGAAGCGAATTCTGTCTCGTTGAAAACCACCCCACCTATGCACCTCTCCGTTTATTACCACCACCTCAAAGCCTTTCTCTCGACTCATCCGCCATATTTCTCTGTTTGCGTTGACAACCGCTCTTTGCAGGTTGCTATCACGCACCGGTACCTCCGGTATCGTGCATATCACTACCTGTACCTTAGGAGAAGTGACGCGCATGTCATCGACGCCTTTCGCCAGTGTGGCTGCTAGTCCTGCTGTATCTCCATTTAGGACATCATTTAAACCACCTGAAATTATCACGAGGTTTCGTCTATCAGCTGTAGTTTTGAGTTTTGAGCTCGCTTGCCTCATGACTGCTTCCAGCTTGCGTCCTGGGAACGCCCCTACTGCAACCTTCTTGTCACCTCTTACCCTCTCTCTGATGGCTTCTGTGCATCGATTTAAATTCGAGTCCCTGGCGATTATCACATGCTGTGGCTTTTCAGCTGGAGCGTCCTGCACCTGGGGGCTTCTTGCACCTGTGACGCCGGCTGCTTTGTCCCTTCGCAGCCCCACCACTACCTCGCTGAAGCTGGGCCTTGCGACAAATAAACCAGCTGAATCTGTTTTTTCCAAACTTACTTGCTCTTTCTTCTCCACCGCTCTGGTTGCCGGTTCCCTACTGTTCTTTCCGTAGGCCACTGCTTTGTTCAGCTTCGATAGTGCTTCCTCGGCAGACTTCAACCTTTCTCCCATTGCCCTCGTTTTTCCTTGCTCTGTCGCCAACGCAGTCTCGAGCTCGGTGATTCTCATCAGCAGTTCACTCTGGGCAACCATCATTTTCTCCATTTTTTTCTCGACCTCACATTACCTACACTACACGTCAGCCTCTTCCACATCCGCTTCTACACTTGCGTCCACTTTCAAACCCACTCCACATCCTGAACACTTTACAGTCTTTTTAACCATGTCTTTCTGACACCAATTGTCCCTATAATCGATACTTACTAAACTCGAGCCC